CTCCGCTGAGGCTCGGTGGGAGAAGAGGAGAGCTCAGCAGGGACTCCCTCCCTTGGCTCGCACGTCTTTCTCCTCTCCACCCTCCCTCCCTCCTTGAAACTGAGATTTCATCTCCTCCTCCTCCTGCTGTGCATAATTCATTTCCTCGTTGGTGAAAGACACAGCTCCTGGCCCTCAGTCCCACAGCGGGAGTGGAAACCCTCCCTCTCAGCCCCGCGATATCGTGTCCAGAAGTCCAGTTCATTTAATGAATGAACAGGCAAAGAGGAGAAATGGGGAGAGGAGGCAGGCAGCACCGGGGCAAAATGCCCTCCCACCTCCCATGGCGGCAGCTCGGCTCATTGAATTCCCGGCCAGCTGAGCCCAGCTGCGGCCCCCGGTGGAGTTCAAACCCAGGTTGATCCATCTTCAGTTTAGAACCCAGAACGCCCACTTCACTCTGCCCCGTTCTGTTCTGGGCAGCTCCGACCTCAGCATATGCCCTCCTGCCTCCAACCACTCCAATCCTGGCTGCTCTTCGACCCTCTTCCAACCGAAGTCCCTTCCTTGTTGGCCTGGTAGAGCCCACACTTCTGTGAATTCGCCAGTAAAACCCTCTGGGAACCGAGTCGACATCTTGGCTCTATTATTTAGGATGTGCCCATAGGAAAGTCACTTCTCCGAGTCTCCGTTTATGCGCCTGTAAAATGGGGTGAATAAGAACCAGGGTAAGGTGGCACGGGTCATAGACACTCCATCTCCCATCCTGGCCAGTATGGCTCAGTTGGCTGAGTGTCGTCCTATGCACCGAGAGGTCACCAGTTCGATTCCTGGTCAGAGCACAAGCCTGGGTTTCAGGTTCAATCCCCAGGAGGCAGCCAATTGATATTTCTCTCTCCCTCTCCTCTCCTCTCTCTCTCAAATCAATAAAACGTATTAAAAAAAAAAAAAAAGGAAAGAAACACCACCTCCCTATTTGTAAACTAAGTAGGCAATACGAGACGTATTTTGCTTTATTTTCAAGCACTGGATTAAGCACTAAGGACCCAGAGATAAATAAGAAACCATTTCTCTTCCCAAGGTTTCTTCTACCCTCATTTCCCCTGGCTTAGGACATGTTTTCCCAACCCTGAAGAAAACAAACAAACAAAAAATCAAAGCATGTGCTCAATTACGAACTTCAGCTAACACAGGACTAAGGAAAGGGGACATCATCAGCTCAGGCACCGTGTGTGCTGCTCAGATGTGCGGGGATGAAGTCACGGCATCAGGAAAATCCTCAGCAGAGGTTTCCTCAGCCTCCACGCTCTGGAAGCAAACAGCAGCTAGCTGGAAACGACTGCCCACATGCCTGTTCCTTCTGAAAGCTTCGCTTCTCCTCCTCCCCATCTTGGTGAAATATGTTACCCTGACCGGCCGAGAGTCTCTGAAACACACGTGTGGAAACTGGTCTTTCTTTCTTTTTTAAATATATTTTATTGATTTTTCACAGAGAGGAAGAGAGAGGGATAGAGAGTTAGAAACATGGATGAGAGAGAAACATCGACCAGCTGCCTCCCGCACACCCCCCACCGGGGACGCGCCTGCAACCAAGGCACATGCCCCTGACCGGAATCGAACCTGGGACCCTCCAGTCCGCAGGCCGATGCTCTATCCACTGAGCCAAACCGGTCTTGGCGAAACTGGTCTTTCTTCTTCTCTGTGGCTACGGGGGAGAGGATGGAAGTGGGCGTCTTTTTTTTTTCCAAAAACAAGACGGCCTGTCCAGGGCACAGGTGTCTCCCGTGGGCCACTGGGATTCAGATGCAAGCCTGGGGTCACTTGTGCCGTGTCCTCCGGCTGGGCTCGGGGCGGCCAGACAGCGCCCGGGAAGGAGGCGGGAGGGGCCGGGCTGCCGGCCTGTCCTTGGGATTCCTGCGGCTCAGTCACCTGGAGAGGAACGTCCACGTCACCCCATCACGTGGTGCAGCCGGTTTTCCCTTTAATCCCTTTCACGTTTGTCCTCAGCTTTGAAGCATGCCTGGGGATGATTCACCACCATCACACGGGGCAGGCAGGCAGTCATCTGTTTTATTGCCTCACCCTGCTCACCGCTTCTGGAAGGAGGATAACCCAGGGTCCTTGTGTTGAGGGGTGGGGTCGGGGATGGAGGGAAGAAGGATGGGCCCACAGAGAGAGGCTTCAAGGAAGCAGTTCCTGCTCTGGTTTTGCTGGCCTGCTCCCCAGCTCAGGCCTACAGGCCCAAAGGGACAGGCCATGTGGGAAAGGCCGGGGCTCCTGGGCTGGGGAGAAGGTTGAATTGGGCGGTCTAGAAGGCGTTTTCCTTCCACCGGATGAGGCAAACAGCAAGGAGGCTTGATTGCAAAACGAGGCAAAAACAAAACCAATCATTCAGAGGACTGTCACAAGGAGCCACATACACATCTCAGGAAGGGGAGATGGAAGGGCATCATGGGCATGTGTTGGGAATAGACAATACTTCATCATGTCACATCTCATTGGGGCATGCTCAGTATAGCAGGTACCGGCCCTCCGAAAGTACCAGCATCTTGTGTTGTGTGGGTGCAGGCATGCAGAACAAGGGAGGGAACCCCATGTTTGCTGCCTCAGCTCCTCAGCAGAGAAGACCCGCCATGTCCCTGGGATAATGGCTCACTGCGATGCCAGCCCTCTGCATCTCTCTTCTCCTTTGGCCCCTTTAACAGGCTTGCTAGTTCAGGATTATTATGACGTTTTCCTGACCTAAGACCAAGACTTGGGTTGAGCAAAGTTACGCAAGGTCCAAGGGCTAGAACCATGATCTGCAAACTGCAGCTCTCAAGGCACATGCGGCTCTCTGGCCCCTTGAGTGTGGCTCTTCCACAAAATACCACAGCCTGGGCGAGTCTATGTTGAAGAAGTGGCATTAGAAGAAGTTTAAGTTTAAAAAAATGTGGCTCTCCAAAGAAATTTCAATCGTTGTCCTGTTGATATTTGGCTCTGTTGACTAATGAGTTTGCCGACCATTGGGCTAGAACATAGGGTGGGTTTGGGACCCAACCAGACTGTTTCTCACCCAAAAAAATCATGAAGCAGGCTTCCACAGAGACCAGCATTCATCACCACCTACAATATTTCAGATCCAGGAGCTTCAGATTGTCAGTCTTCATTCAACATTGTCCATAGGTTCTAGGACTTTAAACGAAACAATGAATCATGAAACCACTATGCTGAGAGTTAAGTGGCTACCGCCTCAATGTAGCAAAATACCACTGAACCATATGGCAGTATTCAAGGACCTGCCATAATTGAAAAAGAAAAAGAAAGAGGAAGTATAGGTTCAAGTTAGAACCTGAGTGCTCTAGTCAGAACCCGAGTGCTCTAGCCAATAGGACAGCATTTCAGAACCTCAGTTTTCTCATCAGTGGATGGGTATAAGTAGCATTCCCAGCTCCAGGGGGTTGCTGTGAGGATTAATTTAGCTCACGTTTGTGAAGCACTTAGTATGTTGGCTTTCCTTTGGAGTTGCTGTTCTCATCACTAGTGGGAGGTTTTTATATAATGAGGTCATGGTCTGGCAGAGGAAGTGTAGGGAATCCCCCATGAAAAGATGGGGAACTCCTACTTTTGTTTGCTGGTGGCCTGTGTGAGGTCCCCGTGTCCGGATTTTTATGCATGGCCTCTGTGGAGGGAGGGAGGGAAGAAAGGGCAAAAGTTGAGTTGAGTCCATAGGTGTGGCCTCAGGGAAGTAACTGACTTTGCGGAAGGCCTTTGGAGGAGAGGAACTGCCATGGTGGGTGGGTCTTCTCGGTTGAGACCACAAACCTGGGGTTTCCTCCCTGGTTCAGCACTCCTGGGCCCACACAACACAAGATGCTGGCGTCTCGGGAAGTCTGGGGGGCTCAGCAAGAGGATCCACAGAAGCCCTGGGCTTCATCCCTCCGTCGATTTTCCGGACACGTGTCCAGGGCAAAGATTGAGTTATACACATTCAGGAAACACAGACAAGGGACCCTCCACCAATCATGCTACCGTCTTTTTTTGTATTAAATGACGTTATTTTTCATTTCTCAAGAAACACTGGGTCTGCTTTTAAAATGTCTAATTTTTCTTCAAGGTGAACATTGTGTGTGTGTGTGTGTGTGTGTGTGTGTTCTTTATTCTTTTCAAAATCCCCATTCCCACCAAATATGTAACATAACCTTAAGGTAGCAAAGAAGAGAACGCATGCGAAGCTGCTGGCCCACAGCCTGGGACGGCTCTGCGCTCAATTTAGCTCAACAACAGCAACATCACGATGATTATTTTTACAGCGTGCTCACCCTGACACCCTCTGGAAATCCTCTCGGGGGAGGGGCCCCGAGGAGGTGGCCACCACGCCCGCTACATTTGCAAACACTGGGGTTGGGGAGGCGGGGGATGGGAGAAACCACACGGGGAGAAAGAAGAATGGAATAAGAGGGAGACAGATGGCGTGTGTGCTGGGGGGAGGGCTCAGAGCTCCTGTGAAACTTCTGTTCCCCGATTTGCAAGAGTGTTTCTACTTAACCACTTCTTGCCTGCTCCGGGCTCTGCATGAACGGGGACGCGGGAGTTGTCACCTGTGCCCAGAGCCGGGCTGCGCGCGGCGGGGAGAGCCAGGGGCGCCTGGAAAGTACAATAAGAGGCAGAGCGGGTCCCGCACAGCCAGCCTGGGCTCCCATCTGCGCTTGGGACCAGGTAAGGGGAGGGCTCCCTTTGCAGACCCGGGCGGCGCAGGGGCGGTCCGGGCTGTCCCACGAGGGGGCGCGTCTCGGGCCCGAGGACCCGCCCCTCGCGGCGCCGGGCGCGGGGAGGGGACCTGGCACCCGGCGCCCTGCGCTCCGCCTCCCGTTTCCGGGGCCGCGGCTACCTGCACCGCCCGCCGCACCTGGCGGAGGCTCCGGGCGCCGGCAGAACGATCGCCGAGCGGCTGCGGGCGGAGGACGGCGCTCGGGCGCACGGGCGGCGGCGGCGGAGGGAGGGAGGGAGGCAGCGGCAGCCGCGCTCGGCTCGCTCGCTCAGCCCCGCCGGCCGGGCGCGCACCCGGGCCGCACCGCCCCGCGCCGCCGCGGGCGCACATGGCAGCCTGAGAGGCCGGCGGCGGGCTGGGGCCGCGGGGCCACAGGGCCGCATGGGCTGCCGCGCCACCCCGACCGGCCCCCGCTAGGGCCCCCGAGCCGCGGGCACCCCCGCCACCGCCACCGCCCGCCCCCGATTATGGTGCCTCGGCGGCCGCCCGCGCCGGGTGGCAGAGCCGGCCGGAGGCGCTGAGCCGGGGGCCCCAGCGGCGGCGGCCCGGAGCTGCATGGGGGAGCGCGGGCCGCTCTTGGGAAGATGCCCCGGCCCGAGCTGCCCTTGCCGGAGGGCTGGGAGGAGGCGCGCGACTTCGACGGCAAGGTCTACTACATAGACCACACGAGCCGCACCACCAGCTGGATCGACCCGCGGGACAGGTAGGACCCGGGGGAGGGGAGGGGTCCGCACCCTCCACCCTCCACCCTCCACCCGCGCCGTCTGTGCCTTGGGGGACTGGCCGCAGGGCGGGGTGGCTCCGCCAACCTCTTGATCTTTCTTTGCCCGCCCTCCCCCCTCTTGCCCTCCCGGAGCGCCGCTCCTGCCCCCGGGAGCTGCTGGGAGGAGGGGGCCACGGCGAGTTGGCCCAGGCGGCCCCTCCGCCGTCCCCAGATGGAGGACTTAGGCCCCGGCCCGCACCTGCCCAGAGTTCGGACCTCCAGCGCCAGCCCCGCCCCCGCCCCTGTGGGAGCAGAAGGCGGGCGGGGAGGGGGGAGCTGAGCGATGCTGGGGCTTCCCGCCGAGGCTTTCCCCGGCGCGAGGAGGGGCGGGAGGGGGTCTGGGGGGCATCTGGTTGCAGGGGGTTTGTGGGGAGGGCCTCAGGGTTCGGAGGGAGACACCCAGAGGAAGGACAGACCCGGGCGCGGCGAAGGCAGGCTGCTGGACGGAGTGGGGTTTTGACAGGTGCCTCTGAGGTTCCGCAAAGAGCGCGGAGCCGCGGGTGGCCTGGAGGCCAGAGTGGGAAGGGAAGGGAAGGACGAGCAGGGGCGGGCTCCTCGGGGAGACTGGTTCTCCAGGAATCCACAGCGACTCGGGAGCTGTTGGCATGTAGGTGGGGGCGAGAGGCCTCCGGCAAAGCCCTGCCCATCATTCTCCCTCCTCCCTTCCTTCCTCGGGGACCGGGCTCCTCAGCCCTGCACCTGCGCGTCCTGACCTTGGTGGCCACCACGTCGGCTGTAGCACAGGATTTAATTTAATTTATTTTTATTTTTTTGCTGAGGCAGGTGGAGTCAGAGATGCCTGGTGTGGCCGTTAGCTTCCACTTTCTCCGTTTCTACTGTTTGGGATTTCTTTTCTTTTAAATATATTTTTATTGATTTCAAAGAAGAAAGGAGAGGGAGAGAGAGAGATAGAATCATCAGTGATGAGAATCAGTGATCGGCTGCCTCCTGCACACCTCACCCTGGGGATTGAGCCTGCCGTCCCCTGACCGGAATCGATCGGAATCGTGACCTCCTGGTTCATAGGTCAGCCCTCAACCACTGGGCTGCGCAGGCTGGGGTGTTTGGCATTTCTTTGCACACAAGCACCCCCTTCCCGTGGATGTGGTGCGGGGCGGGAGGGCCACCTTCTGAGACGACTTAGTTGTCCTTTGCTCATCGGTCCTGGGCCAGAGTGTCCTAGGAATGTGGCGTTTTCACCTGGTCGCTGTGACCTTGGGCACAGGTGCCCCTACAGCAATGCAGGTAAATGTTTTGGACCCTTATCTGGCTGGGTTAGGTTGGATGTCCCAGAGAGCTCGGGTGAGTGTGTAACAAGGTGAGGATGAAAAGAAAGAAAAAGTGTTCAGGAGGTGTGAGTTCAGATTCTCAGGGGTTCCTGTGAGTAAGTAAGTTCACTCATTCAATACTTATCGGGCTGCTCTATGCTCAGTGCCACGCTGAACGCCTCATTTACCATAATCTGCGAGAGAAAATATTAATGCTAGAGAGCATTCCTTGGGTTGCTTTAACCTCTGGGCCTCAGTTTCCCTATTTGTCAGACGAATGGTTTGCTGGGAAGGGAAGCAGTAATAGTGGATCTCTTAAAAGTTGGAAAGGATATGGAAGATCAGAGTCCGACTCGCATTTTCAAACGTAGGATAAAATTGGAGGCCCAGGGGTGTGAGTAGTTTGTTTTGGTGTTTCTCGTACTCCCATGAGCCAAGTTCTTTTTAAATATTATTGATTTCAGAGAGGAAAGGAGAGTGATATAGAAACATCAATGAGGAGAGAGCATCATCGATTGGCTGCCTTCTGCATGTCCCATAGTGGACAAGCCCACAACCAGGGCATGTGTCCTGACTCGGAATCGAACCGTGACCCCCATGGTTCATAGGTCAACCCCTCAACCACTAAGCCACGCTGCCTGGGCCTCATATGCCAAGTTCTTTACCAGCTCAGAACTTTTAACCTTCAAACTTTCCTTCCCTAACCCCCGGGGGGCAGCCCCTTGTTCTGCTCCTGGAAGAGAGACAAGTTCGAGCTGTGTCCTCCCTCAGTTTAGGTCCTGGTAGGTGTGCTGTTAGCAGTTGGATGTCAGAGGTGAACAGCTGCTGGTGCTGCTCGCTCACTCTGGGTCACCCGTCGGGGGTCTGTTCGGGGGTCTCTGAGAGGATAGTGCAGCTGTAGGAAGCTTCTCGAACACCAGTCATTCCTTACCCTTGGAAGAGGGCAAGCAGTATTGCTTCTGAGAAAACCTGACTTGGCTAGAGCGTAATTTCCCAGATTGTAGTACTAAGTGGAGCACCTTCACTATACACTGAGTGGCCAGATTATGATGATCTCTGAAGGCATAATAGTCTGACCGCTCATTGTATATCCTATATAATAAAGGGCTAATAAGCAAATTGTCCCCTGGACCAGGAGTTTGACCAGCAGGCAGGCCAGCCAACTGCCCATGTCCCCTCCCCCTGGCCAGGCTGGCCAGACCCCACCCATGCACGAATTCATTCACCGGGCCTCTAATACACACACACACACACACACACACACACACACAGAGTGGCCAGATTATTATGATCTCTGAACCCACAATAATCTGACCACTCAGTGTATTTTGCTGTGTATATCTGTGCTCTTACTTAATACTTGACTTTAAAGGAACTTGAGTTGAAAACTTTTTAAGCCACTTTCCCAGTGGGAAACTAGGAATATCTATTGCCATAAACAGAAAGGATCCTTAACAATACAGTGGAGGAGTAAAACCCCACTGCCATTATACTCTAGCTCATCCTGTGGCTGTGGGCCCGCACAGCCTTTGTCTTTAGGCGGATTGGCGAGCAGTGGAGAGGAATGAAAAGCATATTGGTGCCCAGTGGAGCCCCTCGCTTCTTCACTGTGCACGTCACTGGTTTTGTGCCTCCCGGTCATGCACCTGCACTTGCACTGGGCTGGCGTGGGGCCCCTGAGCTCGGGGTGGGAGGAGACCTGAGGAAACCTTGGGGTCTCTGATGAATCTAACTTTGGAGGTTTGGGGAAAGAGCTGGGCAGAGGGCATCTGTTCCGGGCTCCCCGGAATTTCCTTCCTGCACAAATTCCCGCACGCCCGGGTGGGGCTTGCTGTCTGCTGGTCCTGCCTGCGTGGCCTCAGGTGCAGGTGCTTCATCCGTGAGAGAACAGGGTTGATGAGATGGTCTAGAGTAGGGGTGTCGAACTCAATCAGAGAAGGGGCCAAAATCTAAAATCCAGCCTAAATCGCGGGCCGAATGGTTTACTGAACAGTCATAAACTGTCATTGTGATGGAAACGCAGCGGAGTGCAGTGATGACAGCGGTGCGGGCCACATTGCAAGGCCTGGCGGGACGGATTTGGCCCGCGGGCCTTGTGTTTGACACATGTGGTCTAGAGTCTAGACCAGTGTTTCCCAAACTCGGCTCATGATGAGAATCACCTGGTGGAGTTGTTAAACTACAGATTCCTGAATCCCAACTAAGAAGTGCTAAACTAGAATTTTGGGGAACATATAGGTAAAATTGTATACTAAGACAGAGCACTAAATTAAGTATACAATTTTACCTATATGTTCCCCAAAATTCTAGTTTAGCACTTCTTAGTTGGAATTCAGGAATCTGTAGTTTAACAACTCCACCAGGTGATTTTCATCATGAGCGGAGTTTGGGAACCACTGGTCTAGAAGGACCCTACCTACTCTCAGGCTCCTCCTTACCCCTCCTGCCTCCAAGGCAGAATTTGGGGGTGTGGGTAGGTGGGAGGGTAAGGGGGCTGTGAAGAGAAGGAAACATTTAAGAAGCTGGAAAGAGCCAGACTTCTTTGGGGTAGGGGGTGGGGGCGGAGGAGATAAATTCTGCCCAGGTGCTTACATCTCTGCAGCTGGTTCGTGCTGGGAAACGAACAGAATCACACACAAAAGTCTTATGTGTGGCTGGTTTGGTTGCCTTTGGGCCTTTCCCCTTACCTGAATCGAGGGGATGCCTGCCCATTCCCCCTGCATTTGAAAGAAGCCAGTGCAATGGGCCTTCAGTCAGAAAAGGGATTTCTTAGCCACCGAGAACAAAATAGCGTCTCGGGTTACCAACCCCGAAGAATGTCCTGGCACATTCCTCCCCGCGGGGCTGAGCTGTTTTGTGTGCTGTCCGGCCCGGAGGCTGCTGGGGGTAGGGAATCCAGTGTTCAGCGTTCCCTTTCACCAGGGGGTTGGAAGAGCAGCCAGGCAGCCGGCCCTGCCAGCTCCAGCCCCTTCTTCCCCAGGGGAAGGCTGGGAGGCCGGGATTCCTGAGGACGGTTGTCCCAACAACCGGAGAGGGTCCAGTGGGCAGCTCGGGCCCTGCCGACTGGGCCGAGGGCTCTTCCTGAGGCCTGGCCGCTGGGGAGGTGACGGGTCCCCTGGGGAACGGGGTGCAGCCCCCTGGAGTGGCCTTCCTTTCGCAGAGTAACAGCTCCCAGCAAAGGGCCAGCGTGGCGTGGCGAGGGCATTGCACCCAGGGGGATGCCAAAACAAACATGCTGATTGTTCTCGGAGGAGGAATGGGTTGTTGGAACCGGACGTGCCGGAGAAGGTTCCTGAAGTCGGATTCCTGCCTGTTCTGGGGTTTGTGGTCAGACCTCCTCCCAGGAGCCACCTGTAAACTCCGGGCACAGTGTGGGGGGCCGTGTGATAAGTACCCAAGGTCCCCATGGCCGAGGGGCTATGTGGAGAGGACTCAGCAGCTTCCCTCGTGACCCGAGGAAGAACTTGAGCTGACCCTGCCCACACAGAGATCACTGACGTGGTAGGAAGTTGGGCCTAGTGGTCCCAGACCTGACCTTAACCTCCGCTGGTCACAGGCCCCTGTGAGATGCTGACAGAGGTTAAAGATGCTTTTTCTTCTTCTTTTTTTTTAATTTTGAAATTATTGGGGGTTGGGAGGAGAGGCCAGGGAAAACTCAATTGCAGCAGCCAA